GGTTTGGGTCTTAATCCATTTAATTTAATCGGGGCAGTTAGTTGGACTAGGATGAAAACAAACTTAACGCGGAGGAGGCTTTTTGTAATTTGTTTAGTTATTTAGTGGCGCAGTTAGGTTTAACAAACGTGAGTCGTGGAGATTGAAAACGAACGGTTAAGATCGGCCAATATATATATATATATATGGTTCAGGCTAGTGTACGCCCGGGCGTACACTAGGTAGGTTAGCGTACGCCCCATTGAGTTTTGCTATATAGATCATGAATTAACCGGAGTTTGGGGCATGATACTATACCCTAACCTCTAATAGGTAAACCCCAGTCCCTAATTTTCTAACCCAAACCATGAGATTCGTTTAATCTTAAAATGAAAATCAATGAAAATTTTGACGAATCAGGATCGTTGATTTTCATTTTTAAGATTAAACGAATCCCATGCTTTGGGTTAGTGAATTGGGGACTGGGATTCACCCATTAGGAGTTAGGGTATAGTATCATGTCCCAAACTCCAATTAATTCTTTGTCTAAATAGCAAAACTCAATGAATTTAGAATCTCGTTTAAGTGAGTCTATCACCTTCACTTAGAACCTACCCTCTTTTCTTTGTCGTAGATAGACTTTTTTTTATAATAAAACCCCTGATGTGATTTTATTACTCAATCAACGGAGAATTACAATCTGCTTCAAGTTGCGATAAAATGAAAAATGGTGGCCTATCCTCCCACAATTCCTGGTCATCCCAATCACACAGAGTGTGGACCATAATATGGGCCGCCTCATTGCAACTCCTTTTCACAAAGCTCCACTATATCTGGCCCAACTCCAAAGCTTGGGCCCGGATCTCATCACACAAGCCACCCTCCTCCATTAGTGATGACGTGTCCCGCCTCAGCTTAGAGATAGCTTCCAGGCAATCCGATTTGATCTCCACCGCCTGGAAACCCTTCATTTCCACCACCTCCAGAGCAAATGCAATCACCTTAAGCTCAACAATCTCCGGACTCCACTGGCGTCGATCTCGTTGGACCGCCATTAGTAGGCAAGCTCCACTCCAGTCCCTTACCACAAGTCCCGCCCCTGTGCCCTCACCTGGGAAAATGGTTGCATCAACATTTATCTTCAACCATCCCGCCGGGAGTTTCTTCCACGATCCGTGTACGATTTCGCTCATGCCTTCCTCCTTTAGCCGAATTGATAGGAATTCCTCATAGTAGAAAAGCGCTCGACCCACTATCTCCCATTCCTCCAACTTTTTCTTGTTGAAAAGGTGGTTGTTCCTCTCGTTCCAAATGTTCCATAGGATCATTGATAGTTTTGCCAGCTTCTCCTCTTCTATTTCATCTAATAGTTCGCAGAACCAAGTAGTGCAGGATAAAAACTGTCCCTCGATCGAAGTACTCCCTGAATTCTGTAGGAGACCAAATGCTTCTCACCCCATGCGCACTCCCTGAAAATATGTTCTTGCGTTTCCCCTAGATTACAAAAGGGGCACTCCACCGCCGCTTCCTTCTTTCTGGATTCAATATTTCCCCCGTAGGCAGAATGTTTTGTAGAAAGCGCCATAAGAACATTCGGACCTTAGGTGGCACATGGAGCTTCCAAATCCTTTTCCAGTCCACCGGATCATAGATTTCCCCTTAATCAGGATCCATTTCCTCTTCCTTCATCTTCTGCTTCCATGCCCAATACCCTGATTTTGCCGTGTAACCACCCTTTTTTTCGAAGCACCACACCTGCATCTGCATATCCGATTTATGGGTTCTGGGCAACGGTATCACCAAGATTCTAGCTCTGTCTGTTGGGTTGAAATGTTGTTGGATCACATTCATCTTCCATGTTTGAGTTGTGTGATCGATCAGAGATGATACCTGGGCTAGTAAACCCAGATTAGACACATGGTAGGTAACCAAAAAATCATCCCCCGCAGCATTAGAAATCCACCTGTCTCCCCACACCTCTACTTGAGTCCCGTTGCCTATTCTCCATCGAACTCCATTTCGCACCAACTCTGGAGCTGCCATTAGACTTCTCCACACATAGCTTGGGCTATATCCGATTCTGGCATGTAGAATGTCGGTATTAGGGTAATACTTAGCCTTTAAGACTCTGGCTACTAGGGAATCTGGATTTTGTATAAGGTTCCAGATATGTTTCTCTAGTAGGGCAAGGTTAAAAGCCTTCAAATCCCTAAATCCCAATCCTCCTACTTCCTTGTGCTCACACAATTTCTGCCAAGCTTTCCATGGTATCTGTTCCTCTTTATTTTTCTGTCCCTACAAAAAATTTAGGGTTGCACTCCTTATTTCATATAGAACCACATCATGAACAAGAAATACTGACATGGTATAGGTTGCTTGGGCTTGAGAAACCGCCTTTATCAGTATCTCCTTCGCTGCATTCGAGAGGCTTTGGCCTTTCCATAGCTTGATTTTTTTTCCTTACCTTGTCCACGAGGACCCCAAACACAGACTTCTTTTCTCTGCCTATAATAGTAGGCAGTCCTAGATACTTCGTGTGCTCTTCAACTTCCTTCATCCCAAGTATCCCCGCCAACCTTGCTCGATGATCAGCCCTCACTTTTGGACTAAACGTAAGGTCTGATTTCTGCAAATTAACTTATTGACCCGATTCCTTCTCATACAACTTGAGAATGTCCCTCAGCTGCTCACATTCTGTTGAACTTGCTCTAGTTAAGAAGATACTGTCATCTGCGAACAATAAATGTGATATAACTGGTCATAGATAGCCTTAGAAGTTAGAACCTACCTTTGAAGTTCTTAATTTTTTTTGTACTTCTAGAAATTTAGAAGATAAAAGAGAAGCCCATGAGAAGATTGAAGTAAGCGTGGTTATAGCCTAGTAAGGGTAAGTTAGTTTTGTTCAGACTAATTCAGAATTAATCGGAATTAACTTTTTTGGATAAAACGTACATAAAATTCGAGAATTAGACTTGGATCAAAATTTTATTTGATCCTTTTTTTTTTACAAATCGGGGCAATTTTATTTCAAATTGAAATAATGAAAGTACAGTTTAGTACAACAATGGTGATAAGAGATTGGCAATAACGATCCCATCTCGCAGGAGAGCATCTAATCTAGCATTACAAGCAACCCAATCGGCCAGCAGATTGTGACGTCGAGGAACAAACATCGCTTTCACCCACGAATCACACTTTATCCATCTTATCAAATTTCATTCGATCCATCTCTTCTTTTAATCTTAAGAAAACATGTAAAATTAAAAGAATAAAATGAAACCTAATTCTCCATCCAAATATTAATTTGATACAATATCACCACCCCTACCAAACAATCAGAAAGTGTTAATGCCACATTTGGTCACTGTGATTACTAAATTATGTCATGTTTAGTCACTAGAAAAAATTAATATCAAATTTAGTAACAGTAATTACTAAAACAGGTCACATTTAGTCACTCTCCGTTAGTCTCCATCCAACTCCGTTAATGGAGTCCGTTATGTGCTGATGTGGCTAACGAAAACGCCTAGTCAGCACCATTTTGGAGCGAAAATGGTCAAACCCGACCCGCCACATCACTAAACCAGCCATGTAATACACCCAACCCAACTCATTAACCCAACTCGACCCAGAACCAAACCCTAACTCACTTAATAAAATAAAATTTGAAAATCGATCGGTCAGTCGCCATTTCAGACCAAAACCCTTTCTCGAGAAAGTTCCAAAAACCAGTTTTCCGGAGAACAAACAGATCTCGAATAGCACCAACAGCAATAGAGCTTTTTTCTTCCCTTCTTATTTCCGGTAATGCAAACACGCACACAGATACATCTCACGTAACCACCACATCACAATTGCTTCCCCATTACCTTAATATACAATTGCATCATCCGAACACGAAAAGCCAGAGAAATCCAGAGAGATCGATCGAGATTCGAGCATGCTAGCTCACGTCACCTTCTTGAACGACGTGAGCCTCTTCACGGCGCCGGGCTGCACCCAGACGATCGCCTCGTACTTGGACAACCCGTTGGCGTCTACAGCGCAGGAGACCGTCAGTTCCAGCTTTTAGTTCTTCCCGCGGACGACCTGGTACGCGCCGGACTCCACCCTCACCAGCTTCAGCTTCTCCCCCTCCTTCTCGTTGTGCTGCTTGACGGCGAACTTCGTGGCATCCATCACTTCCGGATCCTTGAGGCCCTCGGGTCGATCGGGCGCCACCTGCCGAGCGGCGCGGCGGCGGCGGCGGCGAGCGCAGTGAGGAGGAGGATCGCGAGGATGTGAGTGGCTTCGCGATCTAGGGATTCCGGGTTTCGACGAATTTGGGGATTTTTTTGGTGGGGGAATTGATTCGAGAAAGTAGCGGAGCTTGGTGAGGAAGGAGAAAGGGTTTTGGTCTGAAATGGCCACTAAACGATTGATTTTCCAATTTTGTTTTGTTAAGTGGGCTAGGTTTGGTTCTGGGTCGAGTTAGGTTAATGGGTTGGGTTGGGTGTATGACGTGGCGGGTTTAGTGACGTGGCGGGTCATGTTTGACCATTTTCGGTCCAAAGTGGTGCTGACTAGGCATTTCCGTTAGCCACGTCAACACATAACGGACTCCATTAACGGAGTTGGATGGAGACTAACGGAGAGTGACTAAATGTGACCTTATTCAGTAATTACAGTGACTAAATTTGATATTAATTTTTTCTAGTGACTAAACATGACACAATTTAGTAATCACACTGACCAAATATGGCATTAACCCCAATCAGAAATATTAAAAAAAACCTAGCATTAATTTTCTTCCTTTTCCGAACCAAACAATCGGAAATATATAAAAAAAAACCCTTTTTGCTACCAAGTCTGAAATCTTGCGTAAATCCTGGTGAAACTGTGAAAGGTAATGATGAATCGAAAACCCTCTGTTCTCCCCTGTTTTTCCATCCATTCCGAAACCATGTCTTCAGATTGCAAACCTCGCCGCCCGGAGACCAATAGCTCTGGAGAAACAACCCAAATCCGGACGGCAGCCGCCGATGGAGAAGAAGAAGCAGACCAGATCTCGCACTTACCCGACGAGGTCATCCATGAGATCCTCGCTCTCCTAGAATCCCCAAAGGAAGCTGCAAAGGCCAGCGTACTGTCCTCAAGCTGGTTTAAGCTCTGGCGATCATACCCAATCCTTGAATTCCACGATACCCAGTTTGAATCGACGGAATCGGTGAAGGGATTCGTCGCCGCCGCGTCCGAAAAGTTCAGTCGTAGAAGCGGCGATACACTAATCGCCATGGAAGCCGTCCGAATCAAGTTCGATAGTCGAAAGGAGTGGCCCGTAGAAATCTGCTCTGCTTTACTCGATGACATGTTGGAGTTGGTTGCAAACAGATCTCCCCCACCCCAAGAGATTGATATTACAGCAGACTTTGACAAAAATATGGACAGATTCTTCAATTTCGAAGGTACGGGGAGATAAAGCATCCCACGGGGCCTATTGCTACCAAAACCCAAGCACCAATTTCGCCTCAGAGCTCTCCATTTGATCAACTGCAATTTTGATCAGTTCAAGGATATCAATATCGACATGAACAGTGTTCAGAGCAACCCTTTTGTGAGCCTTGGCAGCTCCCTCAGGGCGCTTTATCTCGACCATGTCAGCTTCCCCGCCACGGACGTCGGCGACCGAATTCTGAATAGCATCATAGCCGGTGCCTCTTGCTTACGGGACTTGCTTTTGTTCACTATTGCGGGGATTCGGAGGCTTCAGGTTCGGAATCTTCCCAATCTGAAGTACCTGTTGTTTGACCGAATCCCAGTGGAGGATTTAGAGATTACAGGAGTCCCGTCTCTGAAAAACTTGTACATCAGTTTTGCACCCTTGGGAGGTGATTTTGTGGTGTCTTCGATGCCAAATCTCAAAGTGCTAGAAATACATGGTATGAAATTCAGATTTTCAAACTGTTGGGTTTTATCAGTTTCATCCTTTTTCTTCACAATCTCACCTTTTTTTTTTGTTTCTTTGTTTCATTTTCAGATGTACACAAATTGACGGAGCAGAAGTTTGATGAGCTGATGTCGAAGTCTCCATCTTTGGGGTCACTTACTCTGGATGGTCTTAATTTAGTACAAAAACTGAAGATTATCAACCATGACAAGCTTTGGAAATTCCATCTGTCTTCTTGGTATCAATTGCAAGTAATTGAAATGAATGCTCCGAAGCTCTGTCATTTCATATATTCGGGAAGGGTTGATTTCTTCATTAAAATCTTAGGCGAGGTCACTGACTATCGCAAACAGGCTGGTCCATCTCTTGATGCACAATATTGGAGCTTTGGAAATGCTGAGAATTACCAAATCTTGAGAAAATTTCTTGCGCAACCGACACGATTTTGGTTTCACTTCATTCTCGAATTCGACTATTTATATTACAAGGTACATTCACATATCTTTTTTTGCATACATGTACTACAATACGTCATTTTCCTTCTCTTATTGGAATATATTCATCTTGGCGTGGCTTACAAACATGTAAACAGTAAACGCCTATTTGTACCAAACTGACAGCATCCGTAAAAAAATTGTATTATTGTCAATCGATTTCTTATTTTATGTTTTGTTTATTTGTTGTATTGTATATTGGTACTATTTGCAGTGCCATTGGAAAGAAGTTCAGGAGAAGCTTCCTATTCCAAGAATTAAACAAGTGAAGATTTCAGATAATTTCCGTGAATCGTTCAACAAGGATGTTTTTCTGGACGAGTTATTCCAGAATTTTCATCCTAATTATTTAAGTTTCAATCAAATCGGTCTATCCTCTTTATCAAATGAAGGCTTATTGTTAACTGTCAAGGTACGTATGATCTTTAACTGTTCGCCCAACAAAAAGAAAGCCTTTATTTTTAACTCGTTGGACTCGAACTCTCAACTCTTTCCTGCCCGAGCCCTTACTCCTTCAGCATCACATAGGAAACATACCTATTAGTCCAAATTCTACCAAAAGAAACATAACTATCTTTCATAGATTTTCTTTTAGTTATTCTCTGAAGCATTAATCTTCTTCTAGTAGTTTTGTCATACGAGCTTTATTGACGGAATAACATAGTTGCTTCTGCTCTATTTGTTGACAGTATATATGCAAACAATTTATGGAGAGAGAATATGATAAAAATCATTGTGGAATCATATGTAATTGTTGGCGCCATCAACTCAAAGATATGAAGATCATAAAGAGAGCTATAAATAGCAAAATAACAGTAGACGATGGAGATCAAGTGATGGATATTTCAACAGACATATTTTTGTCTTTTCCTGATGCCAGAGAAATTCTGTTTTTGTTGACATGGGATCAAATTAAATTGATTGTCTCTAATTTTTTCAGCACTCATTTTTATACTCAATTTTATTTTTATTTATTGATTTTTTTACCGACAATAATGTAATTTTTCAATCAGACTTCAGGAAGTACAGTGATTATTTCCAATATTCCCTTCCAAATAAATGTTGTGCTAATATAAGTTAACTTTTAAACATTTTGGGATTTGCACCATGACCACCAATTGTTTATCATTCCATTTAAATGACTCTCCCTCGTTTTTTTTTAAGTCATTGGCTATTCATTGATATGAACCCAGAGGGTAAGCAGATTATGGGCCGAAACTCGTAGGGGAGATACAAGAAACATGGAAGGCCCAAGCAGCAATCAAAAGACCAAGACCCAACTGATGACATGTGAAAAGCAAGACCAAAAACAGCCAAGGAACAACATATGGCCTGAAAACCCTAGCCCCAATTGATCCCACATGGAACAGCAGTCGTCACTTATCATACCAAAAATGGTACCCGTCAGAATCACATGCAGAGCCCGACGAAGGGGGAATTCGATGACCAGAGACCGCCTGACAACAAGCAACCATGGAAGAAAGATTTTGCAACCGCCACCCCTAAACGACAAAAGTGTTGAGTGAAGCTCGTCAATGGGAAAGAATCAACAAATCAATCAAGACTGAAATGGAAGGTTTCAAGAATGGAAAGCTGAAGCAGATTTGTGGGAAATCAAAATCAATGCCCTGCAACGGCTAGCTTGAAGAGACGCAATAAAAAGGACGAAAGAAACCAACTGGTGTGAAAAGGTTTTTCAGCAGAGTCCTAGGTTACAGAGTGAAATTGCTTTTTGAGTGAAAAACATCAGTGAAGCTAATCAGGGAGAATAGCTGTTAGTACTGAGGTTGATCAGGGAGATTGTGCATCAGTAGAATCGTTTGATTGATAGGCAGGGAGCTATTCAATTCAAACTTAGAGTCTGTAATACCAGAACAAGAACAGTGTTCTAGTAGCTACGTAGGAATCCTCAAGAGGAGAGATTCCTACCGTGGATTAGTCGATGTTGGGATTCTTCTTCTCCCAATATCGGATACCACGTAAAAGGTTTGTGCAGTGTGTGTGTTTTCTGCTTCGTGCTAAGCTTGCTACTCTGTTTCTGTGATAGTTGATCAGGTACAAAGAAGCCTTGCTTCAGGAAACACTCTCCGGCGGATCAGAGGAAGAAGAAGGTGAAAGTGGGCTGCATAAGTGGAAGCAGGCCTATATTTATTTACTTCGGAATAAGGCTCTGGGCCGAAGCCCAGTATCTTCTTAGTTAAACGACAACCCATTTTACATACTTATGTTATTATACACTTTTCATTGTTGTTTAATCAAAACAAAGAAAAAGAAAACCACGAACAAACTGACTCTTCACTTGCTCGAGCAAAACTGTCGATTAGGGTTTTGCAGGTCCTGCATCTGAGCCTCAAGAGAAGCACTGGTCTCGCGCTCGACCATCAATCCACACATGGTATCAGAGCCCGGCTCCGGAATACAAGGCGCAACCGTCTTCGGAGACAATGAGCTCGGGATCAGCCAATGGAATCTTCATGGCAGATGGATTCTCACAAACTCGACCTCCCAGGTTCGAAGGCGTACACTACGGATACTGGAGAAATCGAATGGAGCTTTTCATAGGATCAACTGATCCGGATCTCTGGAACATCGTTCTAGATGGTCCCTTGGAAGTGAAGGAGGCTCGTGGAAATTGGACAGAAACCGACAAGAGGAATTTCCAGCTTAACTCAAAGGCGATGAATCTGATGTATTGTGCACTGGGACCAGAAGAGTACCACAGAGTGACTGGGTGCAAATCTGCAAAAGAAATCTGGGATAAGTTGCAGATTGCACATGAGGGTACCTCTCATGTCAAAGTTTCAAGAATCAACAGTCTCAAGCAGGAGTTCGAATCATTCATCATGAAGCCAGACGAGTCGATTAAAGAGATGAATGACCGCTTCACAACGATAGTCAACAGCTTGAGAAACTTGGAGGTAGAATACGCCAGTGCAGATCTAATACGAAAGGTACTCAGGGCTTTGCCTAAGAAGTGGACGCCTAAGGTCACTGCGATTGAGGAATCGAAAGATCTCACCAAGTTAAGCTTGGATGAGTTAATCGGATCTCTTATCACACATGAAGACAAGCTAAAGAAAGAAGACCTGGAAGAGCCGAGAAAAGAAAAGAAGAGCATAGCATTCAAGGCTACAACTCAAGAAGATGATCTGGACTGCTTGGACGAAATGGAGGATGATGAGCTTGCAATGCTGAGCAAGCACGTTGCCAAGCTACTCAAGATCAGAAGAGACAAGAAGAGAGGAGGATTCTCAAACCGGTCGAGAGATGGAGAAATTGAAAAAGAAAATAACAGAGGAGGACGACAAGGATTCAGGAATCGAAGAGAAGGAGTAAGCAATGAAAGGATCCAGACCCAAGTTGGATGCTTCAGATGCGGCAAACCAGGGCACATCAAAGCCGAGTGCCCACTGGACAAGAAAGAGAAGGCGTTTGCAGCCACCTGGAGCTGCAGCGAAGAAGAAGAAGAGGATGAAGTGAATCACAAGTACAGTGCTTACATGGCAATGGATGACTGCGAAGAAGAAAATTCTCAGGTAACAACCTACTACTCTGACTCTGAAAGTGACTGTGATGAATTACTGGATGAGACCATTAGGGATATTCAGAATGAATGTGTGAATGTGAAAAATAAGTATCTTTCGATCAAAGTAAACCATGATAAGTTGCAAAATGAATTTGAAAAACTGATGTGTGAAAAACTAAGTGTCGAAAACAGAGTTCAAGAGCTGATGCAAGATAACTGTAGGTTAAAAGAACAAATAAAGGTTGCTAGAGCTGAGTTAGAAAAGACAAAAACAAGAACTAAGGTAAAAACTGAAAATGTAAAAAGAACAGAGACTCATAAACATCACGAGTGCTTTTATTGTCACGGAACTGGGCATTACATAGCTAACTGTAGAAGACGGATAAACAAGGAAAACATAATAAAACAGTCTTGGCATGTAAACACAGATTATAATCAACATTCAATAAACTCAGCTCATATCAGAAAAGTAACTAAACTAGTTTGGTTACCTAAAACTAAATGACTGTATATACATTCTTGCAGACCTGTCTCCAAGTGAGCATGGAAGGCAACGTTTGGATACTAGATAGTGGGTGCTCACACCACATGACGGGTAATAAAAACCTCTTTTCAAAACTAACTCTGGAAAACAAAGGAAAAGTCTATTTTGGTGATAATTTCAGCACTGAAATTCTAGGGAAAGGTATAGTAGGAACATCTCCATCAATCAGTAATGTGTTGCTGGTTAAAGATCTCAAACATAACCTCTTGTCAATTGGTCAATTGTGTGGAGCTGAAAACAGAGTTGTCTTTGGAAAGAACCAATGCTTTGTTGAAAACATAGTAAGTCATAAACTCATTTTAATAGGAAAACGTAAAGGAAAATTGTTTTCAATAGACCTTGAAGATAAGTATGCTTTTAATGAAACCTGTCTAGTTTCTGTCAACAAGGATGATCAATTTGAATGGCATAGAAGATTACGACATGTAAGCATTGGGATTTTGTCAAGATTGGTAAACTTAGATATTGTCAGGGGGATTCCAAAGCTTCAAAGTAAAAAGGATTTCTTTTGTGATGCCTGTGCAAAGGGTAAACACAGCAGAAGTTCTTTTAAAACTAAAACAGTAATCTCCACCTCTAGACCTCTAGAATTACTTCATTTGGACCTTTTTGGACCTAGCAATGTTATGAGCCTAGGTGGTAAGTACTATGCCTTTGTGATAGTGGATGATTACTCAAGGTTTACCTGGGTATTATTTCTAACCACAAAGGATGAAGCTTATCAAAACTTCAAGGATTTTGTTAAACGAGTTGAAAATGAAAAACAGTCTAAAATAGGGAGTATAAGAAGTGATCATGGAGGTGAGTTCATATCTGAAAAATTTGAAATTTTCTGTAATAAGAAGGGAATTACTCATAACTTTTCAGCACCTAGAACTCCTCAACATAACGGTGTGGTAGAAAGGAGGAACAGGAACTTGATTGACATAGCTAGGACCATGCTGAATGACTATGGAACTCCTAAACAGTTCTGGGGAGAAGCCATTAACACAGCATGCCATGTAACAGATAGAGCTCTTATGAGATCTAAAATTAACAAGACACCTTATGAAATTTGGAAGGATAGAAAACCAAATCTAAGTTATTTTCATCCCTTTGGATGCAAATGTTTTGCATTAAACACAAAAGATCACCTGGGAAAATTTGATTCAAAATCAGATGAATCAATATTTCTGGGGTATGCTGTGAACAGTAGGGCATATCGCATTTTTAATAAACGGACCCTCAAGGTTGAGGAGTCCGTTCACGTGATATTTGATGAGGCTTGTGGCAAGTGTACAGATAGCATTGATGAAGATGATGATCTGGGGTTAGGAACAGGACACACAAGTCAAAAGGCTCAATATGTTCAAGAAGCAGAAGATGTACCACCAGTGGATAAAAATGTCGAAACTGAAAAAGAACACAATCCTCAGGCTCCACCACACATTGTGCGACATCACCCTCCATCTCTTATGATTGGTGGCCTAAGTAGAGGTATGATCACTCGATCCAAGTCTCACACAGATCATACTGCATTTGTAGCTCAGTTTGAACCTAAAAATGTTGAAGAGGCTATAAAAGATGAATACTGGTCAGCAGCAATGCATGATGAAATGAATCCGTTTGCTAGAACTCATGTGTGGGACTTAGTCCCTAGGCCTAAGGATAGGATAATTATCGGAACTAAATGGGTTTTTCGAAATAAAACTGATGAATTAGGATTTATAATTAGAAATAAAGCCAGGTTAGTAGCTCAAGGCTATTGTCAGGAAGAAGGAATAGACTTTGACGAAACCTTCACTCATGTGGCTAGATTAGAAGCCATTCGACTGTTATGTGCATATGCAGCCTCTCGAGGCTTCAAATTGTACCAAATGGACGTTAAAAGTGCCTTCTTAAATGGGGAAATAAAGGAAGAAGTATATGTCTCTCAACCCCCTGGGTTTGAAAACTATGAATATCCAGATCATGTTTTTAAGCTTAATAAGGCACTGTATGGTCTTAAGCAGGCTTCTAGAGCCTGGTATGAAAAACTCAGTAACTTCTTAATTGAGAAGGGTTTTCATCGTGGTCAGGTTGACAAAACTCTGTTCATTAAAAATGAAGATGAACACACTCTCCTAGTTCAAGTTTACGTTGATGACATAATATTTGGCTCCACCAGTCAAAAATTATGCTCAGAATTTGAAAATGATATGAAAACTGCTTTTGAGATGAGTCTTATGGGAGAAATAACTTACTTTCTTGGATTACAAGTCAAGCAAACAAGTCAGGGAATCTTCTTAAGTCAAACCAAATACTTGCAGAATATGATAAAAAGATTTGAGCTCGGAAACTTAAAATCTCCCTCCACACCCATGGGATCTAATGTCAAACTTTCACAAGATGAAACTGGAAACTCAGTAGATTGTAAAAGGATTCGTGGAATGATTGGCTCACTTCTGTATCTCACTGCTAGCCGCCTTGATATTATGTATAGTGTTTGTGTATGTGCTCGATTTCAGAGCAATCCTAAGGATAGTCATCTCTCAGCCATCAAACGAATCTTTCGTTATTTGGTTGGGACTCCTACTCTAGGGCTCTGGTACTCTAGCTCCTCAAGCTTAAGCTTGATCAGCTACAGTGACTCAGATTATGCAGGGTGTGTCATCGACAGGAAAAGCACTTCTGGTGCCTGTCATTTCTTAGGTTCATCTCTAGTCTCATGGTTTAGCAAAAAACAAAGTTCTGTAGCATTATCCACAGCAGAAGCTGAGTATATTGTTGCAGGCTTTTGTTGCACTCAAGCCCTTTGGATGAAATACCAACTAGAGGACTATGGTCTTCCATTAGGTTCCCTCCCCATTTTGTGTGACAACACAAGCGCTATCAACATGTCCAAAAATCCGATCCAACATTCTCGAATTAAACATATAGAGGTCCGTTATCACTTTATACGAGATTTAGTTCAAGAAGGAAAAATTCACTTAGAATTTGTAGGGACTGACTCTCAATGGGCAGATATTTTCACTAAACCACTGCCTGTTGACAAATTTCTGCCTATTCGTCGAGAACTAGGAATGTTTACCTTAGAAGAAATAGGTGAAATCTCTTAGGATTCTGTGACTCCTCGATTTTCTCTCATTTCTTTCCATAGAAATTCTCAATCTCTCTCTATCACGATTAATCAGCAATTATTTGCTGGCATATTAACGTGAGTGATTCACTTACCCCATTCACCTCTCTTCCATCCTTATATATCTAGAGCATCACTAGGGTTCCATCTCATCCTTACAAACACTCACTACAACCCCTCATTTCAAAAAAAAAAAAACAATGGCCTTTAACAACGCTCAGCTTCGACCTATCGTGGTCTTCAAAAATCAAGGCTTTCGCAATGCCATTGTCCACTCAAGGTATCTTCGCTGTTTTCGTGATAGACCTATCTATCCCTCATTCACTATCTCTCCTTCAGCCTTCACCAAATATGACATGGATATTCCCTCCCTAATTGCTGGATTGGGGTGGGAGTCATTAACTGAGGATCAACGTTTTCTCCATTGTCCTGAAGCAGTAAGACTATTCTACGTGAATATTCGTCGTGATCGTGGACCTGAGCCAAATTCCTTCACAACTATGGTTTATGACCATGAAATTACAGTCACTCCTGCCTTGCTTGCATCGGTCCTCTCACTTCCTCACTCAGGGATCCATGCCAGTTATGAGAGTGATTTCGTTGCCCACGGGTTCGATTTCTGTGCTGCTCATGATCACCTGACCAGGGACATTGGCAAGGCCTTCCCCAATAGACGCTCAGCTGGTCGACTTCCTGACGACCTAAAAGTCCTTCATTTCTTCATCACTCGATGCTTCCTTCCCAGAGAGGTTGACAGTGCTGGTCTTCTCCACTCTGACGATCTCTGGATTCTGAGCAATGCTCGTGCGCATCAACCCATCAGTTTTGCATCCTTGATGTTCGCTCACATTCTCAAGTTTGGTGGTGGAGGTTACAATGGTGCTCTACCCTTTGGACCCCTCATCACTCGTTACTTGCACCGCCTCGGCATAGATCTCCGGGATAAGGTGGCTGTTTGCAACGTCCATGATAACTTGCGCCCCAATCATGTCCTTGTCCGCCTTGATGCTGATGTGGGCCGTCGTAAGCTCGTCACTAGCTCAGGGGGAGAAGTAACCTGCTGCTCAGCCTTTTCTTATGCCGATCCTCTCTCTGACAGGCTGCTTCCAGCCTTAACTCAAGCTGCAGCTTCATCCATAGATAAGGAAGTCAGGCGTCGAAAACAAGCTGGCAGTGGAAAGACTACAAACCTGCTGGTCTGCAAAGAGCGACTAGAGCTAATGGATTTTGATGAGGCAAAGCCTGCTCCGGATGATTTTGATCCAATCTCATCTGACTCCAGCTTTGAAGAGGAGATCTCATACTATGAGTCACCTCCTGGTTATCGCTTCTAGGAAGCGGATGATTCTGCTTAGGGGGAGCTTCAGTGTCTAGTTAAGGAATTAGTGTTGTGTTGAGTCGGTCGTAGTGTCATTGAGTCTGCATTCTCTTTTGCTTGTTTGTTGATGTGATGTTGGAAGTTGTACCATGGATAAACTTCAATCAATTCAAATAAAAGAAGCTTCTCTTTTATGAATGTTTGCACCATACATAGAACAGGCTGCACCAATTATTTGATGAGTGTGTGCAGGAAAAATTACGTGCAGCAGGGAGAGCCATTGACAAGCTTAGGGGGAGCATGTTGAGTGAAGCTCGTCAATGGGAAAGAATCAACAAATCAATCAAGACTGAAATGGAAGGTTTCAAGAATGGAAAGCTGAAGCAGATTTGTGGGAAATCAAAATCAATGCCCTACAACGGCTAGCTTGAAGAGATGCAATAAAAAGGACGAAAGAAACCAACTGGTGTGAAAAGGTTTTTCAGCAGAGTCCTAGGTTACAGAGTGAAATTGCTTTTTGAGTGAAAAACATCAGTGAAGCTAATCAGGGAGAATAGCTGTTAGTACTGAGGTTGATCAGGGAGATTGTGCATCAGTAGAATCGTTTGATTGATAGGCAGGGAGCTATTCAATTCAAACTTAGAGTCTGTAATACCAGAACAAGAACAGTGTTCTAGTAGCTACGTAGGAATCCTCAAGAGGAGAGATTCCTACCGTGGATTAGTCGATGTTGGGATTCTTCTTCTCCCAATATCGGATACCACGTAAAAGGTTTGTGCAGTGTGTGTGTTTTCTGCTTCGTGCTAAGCTTGCTACTCTGTTTCTGTGATAGTTTATCAGGTACAAAGAAGCCTTGCTTCAGGAAACACTCTCCGGCGGATCAGAGGAAGAAGAAGGTGAAAGTGGGCTGCATAAGTGGAAGCAGGCCTATATTTATTTACTTCGGAATAAGGCTCTGGGCCGAAGCCCATTAGACCAACTCCAATGCAAGACCCCAAATTTGGGGACCTTCATCCCCAAATTTGGGGATTGCCCCCATTTTTCACAAATTGACTCCAATGCTACCAACCTCAAATTTGGGGATCTCTATTTTATCCATGTTTACATTTACTTAAAAATGCACTTATCGAAGCCTTAATATAATTCGTTAATCTTAATTTTTGTATAGTTCGTCATTATTTTAAGATACAAATTTTCCGATAGAATTTTTTCAAATTTCGACACCGAATTTTTTTGGCGAAAAAACTATGGACCTAATTTTGGTTTACACACAACACTTGAAAATTATAAAGCTAAAGGAGTTCACATAATAATTTAAATGATACAACTTAGAGATTACACGCAACACTTGCTAATGATAAAGCTTAAAAATAACACACAACACTTGAAATGATAAAGATGAAACACATAACATGTCAATAATCGCCCAAAATGGAACAGTAATTCCCGTAATCTCCTCCTCCACCTTCATCTCCTCCTCCACTCTCATCTCCTCCTCCGGTCTGACTTGCGTTGGATGAATAGTTGGGAACAGAGTTGGGATCATCTTGATCATATCCTAGAATCCTCTTTTGATGAATTTTGTAATACCTCCGCTTTCTTGGTGTCAACTTCGACAAGTCCTTTTCAAGAAGATCAAGGTTGTCCCGAAATAGTGCTGTTTCCCTCTCCTTTTTCTCAACTTCCCACTTTTCTTGGTCACGCTTTGATTTTTTTTCTTGGAATTCCATCCTTTTTCGCTCATACTCAGTCCTCGAAGCATGTCTCTCCTTCATCTCACTTCCATACTCCAGCAATTGAGCAGTGTAGCTCTCTGATGACTCAGCAACCCCCTTTCCTTTCTTCTTAGCCGCCTTCTGTTTGTCGCGTCCAGTAGGGCGAGATATGACGAAGGGTGGAGTCTCTTCGACGAAGGGTGGAGTTTCCCCGACGAAGGGGGGAGTTTCTTCGTCTCCTTCTGTGTCATTGAGGTCTGTCTGTGGTGTTGATTGATAACCTTGACTCATGGGAGAACCATCAGTACCTTGACTCATGCGGTTTTGATGTGAAGACGGCATTGCTATAATAGTATGGAATTTTTGGCATTTCTTCAAGATCCACCAGCAATGACCAAAATTCCAACCCTTCTCTCCGGTCTCACTTAAATACAGTTGTTCTGCCATATACTCCTATACGTATGAATGAATGGAATGGAAAAGGAATTAGAAAATAGAACACACGTACTAATGAGCGAGTTAGAAAATAACAGCAATAGTGACAGAGATTTCATACCACATCTTGTTGATTCGTGCCACTTGGTTGATTCCTCTCTGCCCTTTGGATAGCTGAATTCCAACACTTACAGAATTTGGTGATTGTGCCCATTCGACCAGACATACTTTTGATGGTACGAGATGAGTTTCGATCGTTGACTCGATATTGCGCCGCCACTCTATCCCAAAACTTTCTAGTTCGTTGATTGACGCCCACAGCTCCATCCTCTGATATCATGACCCAAGAATTGCACAAGTTCTTATCTTCCTCCACTTTCCAATTCTCTCCTCTCTTGCTTGTCATTGTTTGGTTTTTAGGGAGAGAAATATGATAGAAAGGGTGATGAAGTTGACAGAAAATTTCAATTCAGTAAGAATGAGATGTAGAGAGTGGAGAGGATGTCTGAATATATAGAGAATTTATGACTGTTAGATGTTACCGTTTGAATATGACCGTTAGATGTTACCGTTGCCCGTTGGTAGGTAAGGCTGTTAGGTAGCACGTGTTAGTTATGTCAATGGTAGGTAGTGTTATATGTTACCGTTTGAATCTGACCGTTAGATGTTACCGTTGCCCGTTGGTAGGTAAGGCTGTTAGGTAGCACGTGTTAGGTATTTTCATTGGTAGGTAAGACAAGTTTGGATGCCTGTTCGGATATAAATACAAATCCCTCATTTGCTCATCAATCAATACTTGTCTGAAACTTCCTCCAATTTCTAAATCAAACACATCCATAAACTTCTCCACATTTCTCAAAAACACATATCTATCATGAGTTCATCAGATTACTCATCCTCTGGAGGAGAAGAAGAGATGGAAGAGTTGGATCTGTTTCACTATCGCCGTTTGACTTTAATCGGACGGAGGATTGAGGAAGCTTCCTCCTCACGTCGTCGTTCAACAAGTCGCATCTACATTGATCGTGAAAGGGTCTCAGGTCATGATCGTCTTATGCAGGATTACTTCAATCCAAATCCAACATACGATGCCCGCATATTCAGAAGGCGTTTTCGTATGCAGCCACGACTATTCAATCGCATAATGGGTGATGTTGTGAGGTATGATCCCTCTTTTGCTCGAAGGAGTGATGTCGTTGGTCACCTAGGCATATCGCCGGAGCAAAAGCTTACTAGTGCACTGCGCATGCTAGCTTATGGCTCTCCAGCTGATCAACTTGATGACTATGTGCGAATGGGTGAGAGCACTGTACTGGAAGTCTTCAGGAAGTTTTGCAGAGCCATTGTCGGGATGTACTCATCGACATACCTTCGTGCACCAACTCCTTGTGATCTAAGGATTCTGCTTCACAAAGCCTCACAACGCGGATTCCCTGGTATGATTGGGTCAATTGATTGCATGCATTGGGAGTGGAGGAATTGTCCTACTTCTTGGACTGGGCAGTACCTGGGGCACAACCGTAAACCAACAATCATTCTCGAGGCAGTGGCTTCGTACAACACCTGGATATGGCATGCTTTCTTCGGCCCGCCTGGGTCGAATAATGACATCAATGTTCTGGGGATGTCTCCAGTGTTTGACCGTATCCTCAACGGATCCGCTCCACGAGTACGATTTGAGGTAAACGGTCATACCTATGATCAATGTTATTATTTGGCTGATGGTATTTATCCTTCATGGTCAACTTTAGTGAAAACATTCAGCAATCCAAGCTCAAACAAAGAAGCCTTGTTTGCACGATGTCAAGAAGCACATCGAAAAGACGTAGAGCGGGCCTTTGGAATTCTTCAAGCTAGATGGGCAATCGTTCGTGGCCCTGCGAGATCTTGGGATGTTGCCACAATTAATGATATAATGTTGACATGTATTATATTGCACAACATGATAATCGAGGATGAGCAAGTTGATTCTGACGATGAGATGGAAGATAGTCTTGATTATGAGGTCCACGACCAACAACCAACTAATGTCAACAGAGATATTCCAACTCTAACTGAGTACTTGGCTAGGAATAATAGACTTCGTGCTGCACCAACACATCATGGGCTTCGTCAGGACTTGGTTGAGCATATTTGGAACTTGCATGGAAATAATTAGTTATTGTTGTTGCTTGGTATTGATGTTGAGATGCTTTGTAATTCAATTTAAAGTTGTAGTTGGTGACAATTTGATTTGTAATTCAAGAAGGTATTTTCAATTCAATAATATTTTTTCCATTCTTAGATAATAAGCATAATTTTAAATAAAATGAATTCAATTTAAATCATCTTAGAAAATAAAATAAATTAACCAAACTATTAAACACAAATTAAATAGAAAACCTTCCCTTAATTAATACAAACATTAATTCACTAACCTTCACTCATTAATTATATAACCATCATTAATAAAACACTTAATGAAAAAAAAAAAAGAAGGGCGGAACAACCGCCAGGGCTGGGCGGTGCGGCGCACGCGCTAGGGAGAGCCTCTCCCCGCGCGCGTGCGCCGCACCGCCCAGCCCTGGCGGTTGTCTCGCCCCACCCCCAATCTGCTCCCCCATCTCCCCCATAAATGGCGACTCCCCTATATCCCCCTCCATATTTGGAGACCCAAATGGAGGCCACCTCCATTAATGCAGTTTTTTGCTTTTTTGCAGGCTGCATTGGAGAGCTCCCTCCCTCATTTATGAAGGCTCCCCCATTTATGGGGGTTGCATTGGAGTCAGCCTTATCTTCTCAGTTAAACGACAACCCATTTTACATACTTCTGTTATTATACACTTTTCATTGTTGTTTAATCAAAACAAAGAAAAAGAAAACCACG